TCTTCTCGCGAACCTCATACTCGCTCGCTTCGCCCTATCACGGCCGGCAATGGCCCTTGGCCTCGTCGTCGGCCGAGCCGCTGCCTGATGACGTCGACGTCATGGCGTGGCGTGGCCTCCGCCTCACCAAGCCGGCCGAAGGCCGAAGGTGGGCGACGCCTCGCGGGCCATCTCCCCTTCCCATTCGCTCGGGCCACACGTGCCAAATGTGGCGATGGGCGAAGTGCTTCAATGGGCTGGGCCCGAGAGTTTGATTGAATGATTTGATTTCCATTTTTTCTTTATTATTTGAAAATAGAAAGGGTTTGAAAATGTTTGGATACTCAAAGTTGCTCCAAATCTATTGAAATAAATTTGTCTAGGTTCCTTATCATCAGATCTACTTGGGAAAATTATTGCATGTCATTTTTGAGATACTTTCTTTGTAGAATTTTATTTAATCATGTATATTGTTGATAACTTGAAAAATAGGTAGAAAAATCTATAGGCTTCAGAAAAATATGATTTCTAAGTTTGTTAATCTTCTTATGTAATGTACTTCCTTGGAAAAATATGTTCCATGCATGTGCTGTGGGAAAATTTTGAGGTGTAGTTCAAGTACCTTTAATGGTTGATTTTTGTTATTTTAGCTAGAGAGCAAACTTTGTATAAAACATGCATGTGATGATTTTTGTACAGTAGTTGTATGCTATGAAGAACATATGAAAAATACTAACTCTGTTATTTGACACTTTTCACAGTACAAAGTATTTTCATGTTCATAATCATGCCATAGCTTGTTATTTTTGTGTAGGCTAATCCACTCATTCAAATACCATGAAAATCTGATAGTAAACTACTTAGGGTAGTACTATGCTGTAGTAATTTTCTAAGATTTTTCTAAGCAATAAAAATAGATATTGCTATTCAAACCTATTATTATTAGGGTTTAATTAAGTGTTGCTTTTTGTGGGATGAAAAAATTAGTGAAGCTTTGGTGTATCTTTGAAGCATTTAATAAAATGTGTTGACTTAACATATTAGTAGTAGAAGAGAATGCAGTAGATAACATGTGCTTGTAGTATATTTTCTTGGATGATGTTGACTACCTTGCATTCAAACATATCCATTGTATTCATCCCATCCTATGCACCGATTGCATAAGCACTTACGCACATTGCATCATACAGGATCGTAAACCGAGAACCCAGTCGTCATACCCGAGGAGCCCGAGGAGCAGTTCGAGGTGCAGCCACAGGAAGTGCCCGAAGCCGACGAGGAGGATATTGAGGAACTTTCGGAGTGCCCCGATCACCGTCCGAGCTCCTTCGAGAGAGGCAAGCCCCGGAGCATTTTTCTCCCGGTTTGCAATTATTTAATTAAATGCTTTACTTTAATTGATGCATTACGTTCAGGAGTTGTTTGCAACCGTTGATGCATTATACCTTGTCTACCTTTGTTATACTATATCCTTGTTACCCGGGTATCCACAGTCGAGTCAATGCTTAGCTGGCTTAGACCGGTAGAAGACGGGTGATTTCCTGTCACCTGCAAGCTATAGGTGGTTACCTGGATCTGTTTGGATGACTATGAAGTCATGGTATAACTAAGTGTTAAATGAAGTTGAGACCGGACGGAGACTTGCAGAGTTTTGGACTGTAGTGTTTTCGTCTGTGTCGATTAAGGACCGACCGTTGTTGGGCCTCGAGTCATGTTGAACGCATGCCTTACATTTAGCTGGCCGGATAAAGTACCTTCCGACCGTGAAGCTGGGAGATTATTTGGGCCAAGTAGATTGCCTGCAGCGCACTGTGCCGGAGCAGGTGTGGTAGGACACGGGGGCGAGATGATAAGACCAAAGTGCAGTCGGTCGGCCCCCGGGTACATGTGGTTCCTGGCAAACTCGAGATACCTGGATAGTTGACTCGGTGATCAATATCTCACTTTAGCGGGTGAGTGAGGTTTGTGTAAGGAATAAATCACCAGCTGGTTAGGAATCGATTCGAATCGCCATCGCTCCTGGATAGTGAGCACTTGACTTTAGTTACTTCATCGTAGTAAATGTTTATGGAACACTTGGACAGTTATAATGAATATGACATTATGAAAGTTGTTTAATGATCATTGGTTATCATTATCTGCTTAATCATGTTTGCTCTAGTATAGGTGTAAATCTAGTCGACAGGTTAATAATAATTAAATTGACAATAATGCTTTTAGGAAGGTTCTTGAAGTGCGAAAAATGCTTCTTTTGCAAATGAGTCAGCTACCCTACTATAAAGCCCTTCATAATCCTTGGTGTCATTTATTTTCGGTTATGTCGGGAAAGTCTAGCTGAGTACCTTCTCGTACTCAGGGTTTTATTCCCACTTGTTGCAAATGGGCAGATGTATTACGGCTACTGTATCAACTGCCTTTATCCTGCGATGGGTGATGCTTAGGACCATGGGCATGGTCATTCCTTACGTCTCGTCTGATGCTTTTGTTGGAGATGATCATTCGCTGGCACTATATTTGAACTCCGCATGAGTGTGTGTGTGGTTTGAACAAATGGTTTCCGCTACTTTTATTCGAACTTGTTTTGTAATAAATATGTTGAAACTCTGATGTATCTGAGATTGTGAACTTTTATGTAATATGTGACGGTGACCGCTAAACTTATTACGATCTTGGCTGGAATGGAAGTTGGTTTGAAATTCTTCGTGATTTCACGGACTACTGGGTTATACGGGCTTAAGTTTGCTAAATCGTCTGCTCTGGCGGACGATTTTCTTACTTAATTTCGTATAATTGGTCGGTTCTGTTACAAAAAACTCCTCCATTTTCATGAAGAGAACACCTCATAAAGAAAGATTAAGCACCTCATGAAGAGGATCATCACGAAGATGAAATCCAACACACTAAGTGTGCGCATCACTAGTGTTGGGTATGCAGAACAATAAATCATCTCTTATTTGAAAAATAACAAAGAGATAGAATAATCTCATATTATGAGAATATTAGGAGAAAATAATAGTTATCGACAACGCTACCTCTATAATTGTAAATATTTCTCTTATGAGAACCCGGATCCAGAAAACAAAGTCCATGGCAAAGTCGCCTATAGCGATTATATCGGGTAAATGAAGAAAGCAATTGAGGTTAAATCTCCTACTAAGAAGAAATAAATGTTCTGCTATATCTTTGGTAAATGAAACTAATGATTATGAAATATGCAGTTAGTAAATGGATTATGAAAATCCATACAGTTCCAGAAGAATAGAAATCGCAACATATGAAAATTAAATCTCATACTAAGTATTAAGAAGTCTAAGGTAGAATATATATTCCTGTATGAATATTGAAGTCTCAAAAAGAGCATGTCCTAGAAGGAAAAGAGTCACTGAACGACTATGTAAGTGAATAACACTATCCCAATGTGTATATCATATAATAATCTCTCATGTAGTAGAGAATATATCTCATAGAAGAGAAATGTTATTCACTAAGAATGAGAACATCTTTGAAGGATTTAATCCATGAAGAATTTACTAGTCAATTCTTGAAAAAACACCATTAATCCCTGAAGTGGATGTAGACCCGAGAGAAAAATTGAGAAATCCTAAATACCATGAAGGTGTTATATATACAAACACTCAGAAAGTGTATATTATAAAGGTAGCAACAAATTGTTGATATATCCTCTAAAATACCATAGAAGGTATAAGAATAATGATGACTTTGGCAATTGAATTATCCCCTAAATGCCAAATACAAGACTGAATTTATTATTTAGTGGTACAATCAAAGTCCTGAAGATTTGTAGACATATAATTTGAAAATCCACTAAGAAAGAATTATAAGTACTCAAACTCTAGTATAAGTTTGATACATTATCTAGAAGATGTTGAATATTGTAACTTATTTATCCCCATAATCCTTCGAAAGGATTTATTACTTTGAAGGATAAAATTTATTTATTTTGCACAACTAATAAGTAGTTATTATGCATGAAGCATATTGCTCTTGTTAATTACCATATAATTCATAGAAGACTTATGAGCCATCTTTTTGAAAGATACAATATTGTGGTACTACATACCATTATTAAGCACACATTTATGAAAAGTGTGGTTCGAACGATGAAGTTCAAAATTTGGCTTTATGAGGGGAGCATATTTTTATTGAATCTACCTTGAAGGAAAACTATTAGAATTATAAAGATCAAGTAGATCATATTTGCTAAAACATTGAAGTTTATGCATAGATCATGGAAATCAATATCTATCATAAAGAATAGAATATTATGAAGAATACATGACTAAGAAGGTTTTCTATGTGAGTTTTTACATGAAGGTTTCTCACATATGGTTTTTAATGAGACAACATGTGCAATGCAATTAACGAATGCAATGTACTCTTTTATCCAAGAACCATTTTTTCCTACCGGGTTTTCGGATGAAGTTTTAACAAGGCATGTGCATATCGTGGTAATCGTCTAAGGGGGAGTGTTGTAAAACATATGGACTCTATCCTGAAGGCAAGGAGAATGAGGAATTCTAATCCTAGTCCGTTTGTATGTGTGCTCTTATCAAACTCTTAGGCCTTAGCAGGACTATATATATATATATATATATGTGAGAGCTCTATGTTGTAATGACCAATATTCCGAGAAATAAAGAATAGTCTTCCTATCTTATATTTATTTGTTTTTCTACTTTTACCTATTGTGTTCATTATGAGAGACGGAGAGGGAAATGTCCTATCTACTGGCAACGTGTTTTATAACAAAAGTGTCATCCCAAACAAATGCTTGTGTACGGACAATGAGACATTGGGGGGCCTCAACTAAGATTAGGCACCGCTTGGGCGCCAAACTGTCCTTAACGGTGTTGGTTTGGCGCCAAATCTCTGCCGTCGCTCCGCATTCTCCTCCCTAGCTTGTCTTGTTCTGCTCTCCCCACTTCATCTCGTCTCTGCCTGCCTGTATCTCTCACTCAGGAGCTCAGTTCCCTTCCGCTTCCGCCTTCCGGTCACCGGCCATGGCGCCCACCTTGCCACGACTTACGTCTGGCGCTGGTCTGTCCTCCTCGTCGCCGTCGTCGGCCGGCCCCAAGCCCGACGTCATCATCCTGTCCTCCGATGACGAGCTGGAGGCGAGCAGCTGGAAGAGGTCGTCATCGGCCGGCTCCAAGCCCAACGTCATCACCCTGTCCTCCTCCTCCGATGACGAACAGGAGGCGAGCAGCTGGAAGATGTCGTCATCGGCCGGCTCGAAGGCAGGCCCCGTCGTCTTGACCTCCTCCTACTCTGACTCCGATGGCGAGCTCCTCGCCAACTGCCGGAAGAGGCGTTCGCCGCGCAACGTGGCCTGGGTCTTCTCCGACGAGGTCAAGATCCTCACCGCGCTCGCCGACGAGCACCTCGAGTCCCGGCGGCTGCCAGGCTCTCCGTCCGCGCTCCTCGACGCCATCTGCCGCCGGGTCGACCTGAAGCGGGAGAACGCCACAGCCGGCGACGTCGCCAAGAAGGTGCACAACCTCAAGGACAGGTTCAAGAAGGTGATCGCCTCCGGTGGCCCGAGCGGTGAGCTCCGCGACAGGGAGCTCTACGACCTGTCGGTGAAGGTCTGGCCGGAGCTCCTCCCGTCGATTGAGAGCATTTCGTCGTCGTCCTCTTCGTCAGATGGAACCTGCAGCCACTGATGGCGATCGATCAGGGAGGAGCTTGGAGCCTAGAACGATGGTTCCAGCACTTTTGTTGATGCTACCTACCTACTAGCAGATCTAATTTCAGCACTAATATGTTCAGTAAGGACTAGTTCAGGCATCAGGCTAAGCGACCTGTATAGATATTAGATAGATGTTGGCCTATAATTTCAGTACTTTTGTTCGGTATATACAGTAGACAGTAGTCTAGGCGTCAGGCTAAGCTACCAGTATAGATGTTGGCCTAATGTCAGTAGTTTCTGTCCTTGTCATCAGTTGTTGCTCAAGGAGTGGAAGCTAGTTTAAGCACCTTTTGCAATTACAAGGATTAATATATATAAATGCAATCCGCCGATCAATTTGCCATCTTTGTGATACTTAGTGTTTCAACCATTTTATCTTAATTCAAGTTTAAGTCAAATCGACAATTTGGTTTCTGGTCCATAGTTGAATTTGCCAGGAATCTGAATATACAGGAACCTACCGATTCCCTCGATGAATCAATCAGAGCAAATCAGCAATTTTCAAACTGAATATAACCAGATATATACTGGAATGGTTTCAAGTTTATTTCAACAACTCTTTTCTTCAACTAAGAACCTTGAGAGTTATTGCCGATCTTGTGCATATCAGTACTGGAGACAGAAATTACGTACCTTTTTTGGGCCTTTACGAGTTTTGTGCCTACAGAACCTGAATGGACTACTGCAACCATTATAGGAACATGATACATCCTGCAGCATTTTTCAAGAACAATTCATAGTGAAACTACATGTTTGTTAATTCTGATCATGCAACGGCTATAATCCAAATTGTCTGAAGTAAATCCAAAGGACTGACAACAAGAAAAAGCTACATCCAAATCATCTGAAGTAAACCCAAAGGACTGACAAGAAAAACTCGGCAAACATACATGCTAACTAAAATAAACTTGCAAGAGTGATTCACCACATGGACAAGGTTACTGAGCCTGCCAAACAACTTCCAAGCACATTTACAGCCCCCATAGAGCACAGTTTATCTTTGCACACGTGCAGTTCAGTCATACAACGCCATATCCTCCACCAAAATACCTAGATAAGGGTGGTTGTCACTTGTCAATAAGTTCACCATCCACTGATCCAACGACATACCCCATGCCACAATACATCAAAAGAACTCTAGTCTGTACTGAGTGTGATGTGCTATCTGAAAGGGAACCAAAATACATCATTTGCTGCTCCAATCTAGTGACGATTCACCAAACGAGACTTCTTCGACTTCTTCTTTTTAGGTTTCTCTTCACCAGGATCCGACACTCTAAGTAACTCAATTTCATAAACAAGCCATGAGTTGGCTGGTATTATCTCCATTTGTGGTTCATCTGGTATTGTCTCCTTTTGTGGTACGTCTGGTCTTGTCTTCTTTTGTGGTTTGTCCTTATACCTAAAAAATAAGCACAAATTTAGTTTTCCCTTCCACAAATGTGCATGAAACGTGAACGTGCATATTCTAATGAAAGAAAAGAAGCATGTGAATGAAATGAGACACTCACGCCAGAGCAGGAGGAATGGTCAGTTTCCTTTTCCCACCGACACGCATGCCTACAGGGCAAACTAAAGCTGGTTTCAACCAAATTACCACAAAAATAAAGATGAGATGTGTGCTTTAGTAAAGAATTCTTATAACCCTGAATTCCTTGCTCCCATCCAGCAATTACTTTGTGAGCACCTGAAACCATCAGAATATGCATATACGTTGTGATCATCTAAAGGATTAGACATGGAACAGAAATGAAAGCTTTTGTCAATCTTTTACCGAGCGTGAACTTGAAAGTGGCAGGGTGACCTTCAGAAGAGTCAAAACTTTCCCATCCTTCAGCATTCCAATATATTTCACTTCAACCTACACAAGTAACCTTAAAATCATTAACGTATTCCTTTTTCCCAGGTCAAGGAATGTATAAAAAACTGCCCATACTGTGATGTATTATTTAAGAGTAGTCATCAATAATTTTGTGCACGGACAGGGAGGGCAGAGAGATTCTAATTTGTTATAAGAGGTAAGACTTTGCTAAAAAAAGCTTAGACATTGTTATAAACATCTAATACAATTCTATCAGATGCACAAAAAATTATACAAGTTAATGAATGTTAATATATACTAAGGTTGAGTTGAGGATGACCTCCTTCCCATCAGATGCTATTTCAGCATTACAATCTCCCGATTTTAGTTCATCTATTTTCAACCCGTCGATAGGGCCTCCTACATCTTCTTTGTAGACTGGACGATGACCAGAACCAAGGGATACTTCATCAGAGATCCTACAAAATGAAACATACACACTATGAAAATAAATAATTAGAAAGAGAAAAAAAATACTAGATGAGTCAACCAGTTTTATTCCTTACTTCATGTTAAGACCAGATTGCCCAACCATTTGATTTGGACCATCATTATTTACTTTGGTCTCTAGAGCATTGTGTCCCTGTGCAATATCATGAGCATGTGTGGTTTCATGATCATCATCTTCTTGACTTTGTGTTACAAAAGCGTCTACGTTGGCAGCAGCATTAATACCAGCTTGCTCAACCATTTGATTTGTACCATCATTATGTACTTCAGTGTCTAGAGCATTGTGTTCCTGTGCAATACCATGAACATGTGTGGTTTCCTGTGCAATACCGTGAACATGTGTGGTTTCACGATCATCAGCTTCTTGACTTTGTGTTACAAGAGCTTGTACGTTGGCAGCAGCATCAGGGATCCTACAGAGATAAAACATATACACAACAAATAAGTACAAATCAAGATAGTACCATGATTTAGAGCTTATGGTCCATTTATATCTCATTGATTTCATGTATATATATAGGCTCTAAATGATATCACAGGTAAGCAACAGCTCTTGAACTAGGAAAGGCATATCCAACCATTATGGTCCATTCATAACATAAGTCTTGTGTGCTGATATAATAGGCTACACGCAAATGTAAATCTAATTATATCTGATTAATTTCATGTACATAGGCTCTAAAAGATATCAGGTAAGCAACAATCTTGAACTAGGAAAGGCATACGCAACCATTTTGGGCCATTCCTAACACAAGTCTTCTGTGTTGAACGATATATATGCTACACCCAAACAAAAAACTAAGGCTCTGTTGTGTAGTTTATGTGACTGTATGATAATAACTACAAAAATACTATATTAGTACATTAATGTATAAAATAAGTACATAATTAAATTGAACTGGTGCTTGTCCATCTAGATTTACCAACTATAGCATCATATATGTTGAAGTTCTTTTTTCCTTCATGTTGTGGCAAAAAGGAAAAAGTAAAGACAAAACAAACAAGCAAACCGACAACTTTAACTGACCTACCGTCTTATCAATAGTACTCAATTACTATTCAGTTAGACTCAATACCTTGAAAATGTACTAATTTAATAGTGCCAAACTATTACCTGACCAAATTAATAAAACAATACCTTAGCTTAAAGCACAGTGCGCCACCCCCACCCCTTGCGAACTACGCATGAAATGTACTTTTTGATTTGTGCAATGGAAAATGTTGCTCTACCAAGAATACTGAACAATGTAAAACTCTAGTGATTTGATGTTTATACCAGAACAATGTAAAACAATACCAAGAATAATATATACACTTACTTGTAGTATCCTGCCAGGTGAACTGAACTATCCCCAATCACAGAGAAAACAACATTTTGCTCCTCGTCATATTCCAGGTCTAATCTGTACATGCCCGATGTAGAGTTCAATGCGCAGAGCCTCACAGGCATCATACTACCAACACTGCATTCTATGGTGCTCCAACCAACACTCTCAAGATTACCTAGTGTAGCCTGAAAAATACACAAAAAAAGAAACATGCTTTAGTAATCAAGAGTTTCTTAAACATTGCACATGTTCTGTATAGCAAACATTGCAGAAAATATTTTCTATAGCAGGTGTTTTGATGAATTGTCATGCATAGCTTCCAAGTTTTTAAAATTGTTTTGAATTGAATTGGCATAAATATAGAAAATGTTCCATGTAATGTTACTGGTAAATCCACATTTTTTAATCTGTTTGCATTGTACCACAAAACTAAGCTATCTGGGGTTTCCTGTAGTTGCAGATTAAGAGCATACATCATCTATTAAGCCACTGAATGAACAAATAAAGCTTTGGATACAAAAGAGACAAGTAATAGAACACATGCCCTCCATGGTGCAACCTTTCTCTACTGCATATGTAGAATATAACTAGATATGCTAAAAACATTTTGTTATTAGCAACACCAGATTGACCAGCTACATCAATTAAACAAAACGATCAATAATGAATAAAACATGTCCTAAAACAAGGTTCTTGAAAGAACGCCATCCAAATGCAGCAAAAGAACAGGCACTGGCAGAGGACGGAAATCAATCAAAGAATGCACTGAACTAAATGAATATATACAATATTCATCTGTTGATTACAAGGGGACAGTAATCTTATTACTTCATAGACACAGGCTCTATTTCTTATCACAAGCATCTTACATCCTGTCACTGTCATATATATACCAATCCGATTAAATGTAAACCATTTTAATAGAAACAAGTCGCAATCGTTATCACAAGCATCCACATCCTTTCACTCATGTGTATACTAGTCCAACTAACTCTAAACCATTCTAATACAAACAAGTCGCATTAAATTAAATATATATTATCTGAAAGGCATGACTAACATGGTTGTGAAAGATCGGTTCATCTGACAGGTCAGTGCCGAAGATTTTATCCAGCTCATATAAAATTGATATTTAAGCAGTAACTAAAACTACATAAGACTTGAGAAGAATATTTAGGGACAACTCCTATCATATCTGAGGTTAGGAACACACAAAGAAGCAAGTAAATCTAGAAATCACACATTTTATTTGGCAAGCACACTGCAGCAAGCATGAAATGCAATAGGTGGGAATCCATCCAGTAGAAGAATGCTGCTTTAGACATTGACACTAACCGACCAGTTATTCTGTTTCAAACTTTCAATAGATTTCAAACCATTTGTTTACAAAATCTACGAATATCTTTCATGTGTTGAGCCCATTATATGACTCGAAAAATTATATCGACATGTAAAACCCAACCTCATTTGTCATTGACATAGACTAGTGTCATTTTGGCAACATGTGGTTTCACTAGTGGTGATAAAACATATATTAGCTCCCGAAGTTTACAAGTCAGACAGGATGCAGCCTGAACAGCGTTCTTTTGGAATTGGAGGGGTAATTTGACACAAATGTAAAATGCATCTTTCAGCATATAAAAAATATTTCAGAGCAAGTGCAAACTGGAAGGGTAACAGATTTAAGATGGGCAGAAAAAAAGTATGGTACAAATAGCAGTTGCCAAGACAAAAGGGTGATGACCACTTCCTATTGACAAATTTTCAGTTTATTTGCAGAGTTTGATATCACAAATTCCAAATTTTATTCGGGAGTTTGGTGCCTTCAAACAATGAAGTTTATATTAGTATACTTTAGTCTCAACTCTCCTCTTAGTTTCTTTCCCAAATAGACATCATTGTTTTGGATTCTGGAACATTATGCTCATATTTCCTATTTCTATGCAGAGTGTTCTATGGTGCACTGGTTGTACTAAAGTGGGGCAATCAGTGCCTTGAAAACAGAGGACATCAGAATGTATGTAGGAGGAAGTAAGGGGCGCAGTTTGACTGTAGTGATGCACTCAATACTTTACAGTGTCCAAGGCAAACTATTTTTAGGCGATGATCACAACTGTGCGCAAAGATTGGCTATGTCCTCTTCACTATCAAATAGCATCAATTGCAGTAAAATACTTTGAGGTAGCCTACTAATGTAAACTAATCCTTGGAGGCAGTGACTAGGAACCTGGTACACCTGGGAACCAGAACAAGAAAAGATGCAACTTTATGAATCCAATTGTTAAACAAAGACCAGGAATCTTGATATCAGCATAAGCATAGTACTGAAATTAGTAGCAACAGAACCTCTTAACTTTCGTGTAGTTTATTGAATGGTACCCCAGCCCTATGCCCTTATCACTGAATTTCTAAACATAAAGTGGAACCATGTCTAATAGTTAAATGCTGTGGGTATAAAATCCAAACTCTTTCACCAATGATTAAATACTTTGAAACAACCTAGTCAAATAAATTATTCACTAGAAGCACAACCACAATCACAACAATTAAACAAAGACCCGGAAGGCCGGAACCTTGAGTTGAGAGTAATTAAAGGGAAATCATACTCGCAGGGATAAGAACTACACGAGCTAGCTCGACTGAATTAATCGTGTACCTATCGCACATTCGCACTGTGACCAGTGAAACAAAGATACGTTTCTTGGTCATCTGTGTATGAGAGAGAGAAGAGGGGGGCGGGGGTTTCGTTCATCACCTGGGTGATGCGGAGGCGGCCTTGGCGGGAGGACTCATGGACGTACGGCTCGCCAGGCTTCACCTCCACAGCTGCAAAGCATGAGAAAGATTCAGAAGAAAAAAAAAAGATGTATCAGGCTATGGATAGACTCGCGGTGGAGTAAAAAAAAAATTGATCGGCGATGGAAAGTTAGCTGGTGATTGGAGTCCTTACCCCAGAAGGCCATGCGTTCTCGATCGGATCGGAGGTTGCTGGGAGCTGGGACTGGGAGGAGCCAACCTGGTGGCGATGCTATCCAGCACCAAGAAAGTCTAAATAAACAAGTAAAAATAAAGATTGGGGACAAGAGCAAATATTGATTAGGGGGGATTGGCCGCTTAGGGCCAGTTTCTTCATTCTTACCTCCGTATACGAAGACCAGGAGCAGGAAGCCAGGAACAGACGGAAGTGGATGCCGCCGGCCGCCGGCCGCTCGCACTCGCACGGGAGTCGCGATTCGCGAAGATCACCAAGACGCACGGGATCGCTCGCTGCTCGCAGCCTCGCACGGGAGTCGCTCACTCGCGCAGGAAGGCGGAGTCGCGGCCGCGCGGCGGAAGGGCACGGGAGTCGCGAACGCGAAGGCCAGCTCGAACCCCCCAGGGCCGGGCCTGCCAAGACTCCGGGAGGAAGACGAAGAGTCGGCTACTACCTGGCTATTATACTAGTAACATTTGCGATGTTTGCTAGTACTCCGGTACCGGTAGTGCACTCGTGGTTGTCTCTGTACGCACGGTTTACGAAGTGAATTGCTGCAATAAACTGGGAGAAGCGAGTGCTACCGTTTGACAAAACAGCTCTTTATCATAAGTTAAAAATGAAATTACTATATTATCTTTCTCTTTATTTTTTGTCTAATTTTGCTCCTCTCTGCGCAAGCTTCTTTGCGGCGGCCTTCTTCTCTGCATAGGCGCCGCGCCCGTGCGCGGCCTAGCCTTCAGCGCCAGCCGCCAGCGACGCCCCTCCCTCGACGATCGTGCCCAAGTGGCCTCGTGCCCCAACGGCCGCGCCCCCTCCTTTGCTTGGGGCAAATCCGGTGTACTCACACGGTGGGACCCACGGGCGTGTATGGGAGCCGGGTGAAGCTACTATTTTTAGCTCTATCCTACCCTAAATCCATGTGAGAGCAAGATTGACATGTTTGGTTCATTTAGTCTCTAGGACTAAACTTTAGTCCTTACCCTGTTTGGATCAAAGGACTAAGACCATTAAAGTTCTTAGACAATGACCAAAATACCCTTCTTATCTTCTTCTTCCCTCTCCCACCAAGACCCTAGGCCCACACGGTGGGTGCCTCTTCACCGCCCTGACACGCGCCGCGCCCCTAGCCGGCCCCGCCCCGACACGATGCCCTGGCCGGATCCGCGCCATGCCTTGTTCACCATGGCCGGATCTGCGTCACGCCCTGTCCGCCCCAACTGCGAGCTCCATGCTGGCCGCCACATCCGTGCCATGCCAGGTCGCGCTCGCTACCCCTACCTCGTGCTACTCCCCGTCGGCTCCGCCGCCCGACGCGCGCCGCGCCCCTGGCTGGCCCCACCCCACACGGCGCCCTGGCTGGATCCGCCCCATGCCCTGTCCACCATGGTCGGATCCACGGTGGTTCCTCGGTGGTGGTGCGTCGCGGCGCTCCTCATTGGCGGCACGGTGTCACGAACCGGCTACGGCGGCGTGGGGGAGCAAGAGGGGTGGGGACCGGCAATAATTGAGGGGCAGCCCCTATCCATTGTGCACTTTAGTCCCCTTTAGCACCCCAAAGGACTAATGGACTAAATCATTTAGTCCCTGTTTTAGTCACCTTGTTTGATAATTTTAGGAACTAAAAGGAACTAAAATGGGGGACTAAAGTTTAGTCACATGGAACCAAACAGGCCCTTAAGGGGTTACCTGGATGGAACTGTTTCGGTTTACCCCGTTTGACAAAAAAACAGCCTCAAACAAATCCTGGAGCTGTCGGTGGAGCGGTACCCAACGAGGCCCTACTCATCTTCTAGCCTTGCTGTCCTCTCCCAGTGCTTTCTAGAATGTAAATTTTGCTTTCTACTAAGGCAAATAATCTTAAGTTTGATTAATAAATTTATAAAAATATTTATATTTGTAAATAAGCTTATTTTAAATATATATTTCATTACTAATCTAGCGATATTTATTATGCATCATAAATATTAGTATTTTATATTTAATCAGACCTAGAATTATTTAATTTTATATACAATCATCATGAGATTTACTTTCCACGTTATAGCTGGATGGGGATTTTTTTTCTGTTTTCGATACTTTTTCTATGAAAATAAGTTGACTTCTATAATTTTTTTAAAGTTCCTAGACTCCAAAGGGGCTTTTATTAAACATGGAACTATCAAGTTAGTGGCAATATCTTTTTTTAATGAAAAATGGCATCACCAACGTCCAGGGTGGAGTTTCTGGTACTGGCCTGCATCTATTTTAGGAGTGATTTTTTAGAAATTGTTGGTTGTTTGTGCTATCAATATTTTTTGGCGAGTTGAAAAAATCAGTGATTGGAATAAACTTTTGGAAACTCTCCGAGATGCTCTTAATGGCAAGATCTTTTTTTAATGAAAAATGTCATCACCACAGAGATTTTATTATGTGTCCAAAGGCTTGTTCGGCAGGCAGGTTGAATAAGCTAAAATATTGTTCCAGTTGAATTGTTGTGAGAGAAAAATATTGTTCTGGCTGAAAAGACACTGTTCATGTGAACAGTGCCCGCGTGAGTGGGCTGGCCAGCCAGCCAGCCGAACACGCCCCAAGATAGCTCGGGTTTTCTTGTGACCGAGTCTAAGAGTAAGGCTAATTATATAGCCGACTGCTGACTGTATGAATCCTTACAACCTACCTTTGAAGCTATTTATATAGTGGTTATATCTTTACTATTAATGCGTGGCTCATTTGTCTCTCTTACAAAATTTCTTGATTCTTGTGTCCAATCCTGCTTCTCCTCTCCTCTCTCCTCTTTCCTCCACATCAGCTTACATGCCGCTTACAACTCTTTACTATACTTGACCCAATGACTGAGGTTTGATTTCCAACTTACTCCCTCCGTCCCATGAAACAAGACTTTAAATTTATTTTGTCATATTGTGAGACATTGTATCGGTACTGTTTATCAGAGTTTTGAGTGGAATCTAAGTCATTATACCTCATCATCACTAGTCATATCGCTAATATGTCATAGAACTGTATAGTGTTTTTCTTTATAAATTCAAACCAAGTAGTATGCTACTCGCCCTTTTGCGTGGAGTTGAATCAAGTAGTGTTACTCCCTCCGTCCCATAAACCAAGTAGTGCTTGATCCAACTCAATATATAAATTTGGATTTAGTTAGTTGTCAAAATTAGAAAAAAATAACCATTCCATAGAATTGAGTATAAAGTTGTCTCTGCTAAAATCAAGTTGTTTTGACCTCTTGGAAAGTTAGCTGTAGCACCTGGTTTTAAGAACAAAACCAGATACGCACCATATGTGAGCTCAGAAAGTCGAATCTCACATATAGCTACAAATAAGGGTAATATCAAAAGACAATACTCAATATATAACATACTTAGTATAAAGGATATAACCTTAGACAACAGACAGCGGAAAGATAACTCCGATCTTTGGGTGAATACTCCAATTCCACAGGGACAACTGACTGGTTGATCACAGGCCTAATTTCTCCAAACTCTAGCAATCTGGTATCCATCCGGAATTTTTTTCCAAATATGTGAAAAATAAAGCAAGCATAAGTACATGTCGTACACAACAAATATAACATGGGGTTTATGAGGCTCAAAAGACTGACACTGGTTTAACTACGATTATCTTTTAATGAGTCATGATTTTAAGCAATTGAGTAGCATCAAACTTATCATAAGCCCGTAGAAACACATGATCAGGTAAACATAAATAATGAATAGCATAAACAGTAATCATTAGTGAGCATCTTCATCATCAATATCATATGTGTTCATCATCTATTTCGTAAATGTTCTAAGGCCGCTCGTGACCGTGAGCATAGCTGATATACCTGTTTTACACTCTGCAGAGGTTGTACACTTTTACTGTAAGTCGTGATTTACCCTTTCACACGAGATAGCTAATCTCTTGACCCACTTCCAAGGAAGGTCGACAGGGTTCACTATAAAGCCTTTTAAAGATTCGTCTAACAAGTTAGGGCCATTAGATTCACTCGGCAAACAGATGTAGAGCCCAAGTTACTGATGGCACAATGATGCATAGCCTATACACAAGGGGATAGAGACCGCACTATACCTGATTCATCAAGCCATTCTTACGCCAATAAAGTTAATCACTAACAAGCTAGAAAAGGTCCTCATACTGAGTTAAAGCCAGAGCTATGTAGCCCTCATATTTATACTGTAAGTCCCGAATGATCACTTATAGATAAATCCTTAGGGAGAGGAATCGAGAGCACCATAAAAACAGCCCAATGCTGTAGCCTCCAGATTCCATGTTGTTAAAAAGCATCTTTTAGTATTTATTGCATATACCATTAGTCAAGTTACAAGATTATGGTTTCAGTTGAGCACTAGCATCAGACTAACCAATGCAATACCCCAAAGGTGACAAGGAATCTAGGATATTAATTAGCTAGGAAAATTACTACGGTTGTCAAGATAGACACATGCAGTATGAATTAAATGATTAAAGATGTATAGAACAACAAGGAAGATCCCATGCTATACTTGTCTTAAACTCAGATCCTTCTTCTAGTCCAAACCTTCAATGAATTGCTTCTTGATCACCAACGCAAAGCTCACCGACTAGACATGATTATAAAACACCACACAAGCATCCATGCAATCATATACGAAGCAAACAATAGAACTAAATTAGAACACTACACCAAACATGTGAAATAGCAAGTGAAAAGGTTTTAAAGACGTTCTACACACAGGCGCGAAAAACACACTAATCAGAGCTACGGTTTGAAAGAAACGACTACCAAAAGATCTACTGATAAGAGAAAGTATAAAACTATAAGCTTCATGTGTTTTAACTATATAAAAGCATATATAAATTGAATTAAGTCAAATTTAGATTTGATTGATAAAACTAAAGTAAAACAAATCATATTTTATTTATAAAATCCAGTTGCATAATTATTATTCAAGTTAGAGTTTAAATCATGAAATTCTAGAAATAGTGACATGATAAACATTGTTACTAACACGTAGTTCTCGTTGTAATGAATCTAGCACAACTTGAACGGGTCAAATCGGAGCTCAAATGTAGAAGATACGAATTAAACAAGATTTCCTTTAATAAAATAATAGATTAAATCTAACCTCGAATTTTAAAAGTTGAAACCATATCTAACAGTAGGATGAACATGTAGATTGGGCCGTCACGCTGGGTCGAGGGAGAGGAGGAGAGTGGCGACGTGGCGCCGGGCTGCCTGCTGGGCTATGGGAGCGGGAGCGGGCCGGCTGGGCCAGAAACCGAGAAAGGAGAGAGGAATTAAAAAAAATTCCTTTTTAATTTCTGAAACCTAATTTTCAAATCCAAATTTAAATCCTTTTGAAGTTTTGATCAAACCCAATCATCACAAAATAAATATGCAGCTGCATGTATGCACAAACATGTTGCTACCTTATGATAAATTTTAAATGAAATTTTTTATTTTTCTATGTTTTCATGAGCACAAAAATTCAAAATTAACTCAATTTACATCTATTTCAAGAGGAGCAAATTTTAGGGTGTTACAATTCTACCCCCTTAAGATGAATCTCGTCCCCGAGATTCAGAAGACATCGACTAAGAGATAGGGATATTCTGTCTTTAGATTCTTCTTTACTTCCTCGTGTAGTTCCATCTTCTTGATAAGGATTCCACTTTACTTTGCATACCTGTTAATCTTACTCCAAGTAACTTGCCCAACTAATTCCAAAATTCTGATAGATTCTCCAGACCATGCCTAGGTAACTTCAATCACTAGGCCATTTTTTCCTTTTTAGTCCATACTTATTAGACCTCTTACTTCATATGTTCACCTTCTAACGGAGCCTTTTCACTTTCTTGGTCAGAAAGAGAATCTACCACCGATCTTCAAAACATTAATGATTCTGGTTAAGTTGGTCAAACTTGGATACAATTCGTAGTCCTTGGTGTCACCTGAACCTTCTTAGCACAATTCTCTGTTGCTAAGGGCATCGGCCACGACTTTGCTCCTTGAAGTAATAGCACTTTTCCAAGTCCTAATCAATTTCATTCCAACGAGGATAACACAAGATCAAGACCAACTTAATGAAGATGTCCTGTAGATTCTTGTGATCCTCCTATATGTCACTTTTACTTCCAAAAAGATAGTACTTCCATGCTTCACAATGGATAACTTTAGATGACATGTTAGGTAGTTCAACTCATGCTTCCTTAGTTGACTTAATGAACAAGCCACTACTTTTCTTTTCGTATAAGGACACATCCCATACCTTGACAAGGTGCATCATTGTAGATAGAAAAACTCTTGTCCTAAACTGACAAAGCTAATACTTAGATTTTACTTCAACCTCTTCTTAGACTCCTTCAAATACTTAGCTGATGCCTCTTGATCTAAGCAAACTTAAAAAAAACTTCTTCAGTGGCTCTACCAATATCTTGATGATCTTGAATAACC